GGTCACTCCAGTCGATGCACATAATACGGCGCAGACAATGCTGATAGAAGCGCTCCAGATATCGGATATCCTTCCGATAAAGCGACCAGGTTTCGATGTCGTATAGAAGAATGGACAGCACCATAGACTTATATACCAATAACTTCGCCCCAATAGCGAGCTGGTGGTTGATCCACACACGGCATTCCAGCTTTTAAAAATAAGCAGTCGCCTTCGATATGCGCCTGCGCAGCTAGCCCGTCATCTTCTGGTGGGTTGTTATTACGCCAATAAGGTAGCAAAATCTCGAAGTGGTTTCCAGCACTTCCTCGGCAATCTGGATCTGGGGCAGGCCAACCGACCCCACTCCAAGTGAAGGCTGAAAAAGAAAAACAGTTCTGCTTGGGTTAATGGTGAGTCGGAATTTCGTCGCTGTCGAAGCCAGAGCACTAGTCATGTGGTACAACTTATCCGCGCTGTGTGAAAACAACGCACAGTCGTCATCAAACAGCAACATACGGATAGTTGTCTCACAGACTAGAGTTCTCGCACCGAAACGACGGACGTTCAGCAACCCACCATCAATACGGTGCTCCACACCAACACCGGAAGCACAAGTCGCATCAAAAACACGACATCGCATGAAGATATATAATAAACAGGACAGGAGCTAAGACACAGCTAAGACACCAGTGACAACTGCAAAGTCATGCGAGGTCTCTCCACTCAGCTGCACCCTCGCTCGCATACCACTGTGCAGACATTCGATTAAACTTACAAACTTACGCGGGCAACCAAACTTACATAAAACCAGCCACAATGCCTCGCGGTTCACCGTATCAAATGCCTTGGTGAAATCAACAAACAGCGAGTATAACAACTTGTATCTTTCTCTACACTTCTCCCACAAACACCATGTCGATAGTACTGTGACCCGAACGGAATCCACATTGCTCTTCCGTCACATTCGATTCCATAAGCTGAATGAGGAGGCGGTTAAGTAGGATTCGAGCATTCACCTTGACCACACAACTCAGCAAATTGATGCCACGATAATTCGTGCAACATCGCTTGCGCCCTTTGTCCTTGTACAATGGTAGCACAAGGGCATCCTTCAGCTCAGGAGGCACCTCCTCATTCTCAATCCACACGCGCAGTCAAAAACGCGGGTCCGCCGTGTTTCAATACTTCAGGCGGGATCCCGTCGGCACCGACACACTTGCCGTTTCACAGCTGAGCAAGTGCGCTCTGCCTCTCATTCACTGCCGGCAAGTCAGCCAAAAATTACCTTCAGATCGTGCTGCTTCAGGCTATTCAATGTAGGCCAGCCAATCTCTGAACGGTTGTTGAAAAGGCAGTCTGACTGTTTTGCAAGATCTGCAGTATGTTTGCAGTCTATGTTCAGGTAGCGCCTGAGCTACCATCGATTAGCGTCCTCAGCGGCCGGTTCACGGCAGGAGTGCAAAACATAGATTTACGAAAATATGTGTACAGTTTGGTCCGCACCAATTTGTGATCAGTGCCACATTCAGCCCCACGCAGTACACGTCATGTGCACTTCACACATTTCAAGCTGACGTATGATGACACAGTCGAGCAGATGGGCGTGACCACTCCGTGGGTGCGTCCAAGTTGCTATAACAATAGCAACTCAGTGTAAACCGAGTGTTCTTGACCGTCAGTGAGAGTATTGTCACCGTTCGGATTCGCTGAACCACTGTCATGCGGACCGACGACATCTGTACACACAGATGCATCACGTGCAACGCGCTTTGAAATCTCCCAGCAGAAATAGTCTGAGGATGACTGAGCGTAGAATTGATCACGCGGGTCATCAGAATAACACAAGGTCGAACTGTACGTGCTTATAAAAGTGGCAAACTAACACCTTCCGAGTCGTAGGCGAGCGGTCACCAATCGCGCAGTAATGGAAGGCGGCTCACCCACCAGCTGGCCATTTAGGCGATCAGATAGTGCAAATGCAACCCCATGTTCACGTGGTGCGGAGGCGGCGTTTACCACCCAATAGAACGTATAGCCAGCACCAGGTTCATGCAGATTACCTTGCTTAGCGAGCCCAGTTTCACTGAGCTCTGTAATATCGATGTACTGCGCCACTTCCATTGCGACCAGTGCAGTGCGTCCCTCGGGGCACTCACTGGAGTTCCGGTCCAGTAGTGTGCGCACGTTCCAGCACCCAATGCTTAGTGCTTTACGCGCAAGCATACGATTGCATTGGTGGGCAATCGCACACGTGGTGGTGGTTTTGCTTTGGAGGTTTGGTTGAGGGATTCTACACCTGGAGTCTCTGGCTCAATAGCGTGACCTGCAAGACAGCGGGTGTATATATATATATATATATATATATATATATATATATATATATATATATATATATATATATATATATATATATATATAACCAATAGTAGAATTGGCGGAGTGGCGCAACATATGAATAAGTACAATACAAGAATAATGAAGAGAGAGATAAAGTGGGAAGCTGTAGTTACGTGTTTAGAGTGTTATAACATGTTCGTCATTGTGTACGGTTCGCTGTCATGTCCGGGAGAGTAAGTAGCCATGTGCGTTCATGATCCTTGCTTCCCTAGCCAAGGAGTCGAGAGCTATCAACTGCAGCCAAATTTGAGTTCAGCGCTTCCATATTTCAAGCCCAAATAATTCGTTGGCCAATTTTTCTTCGCTTCCAACCGAGTTCTGCGACCGCGAGGAGTGCACGGCGTGCGAAGCACGTGCCGAAGTCTGTGTAGAGAAAGTTTGCGGCTCAGAAGCCGGCAAAGATTGATCTGGAAATTCTTCCATGAACATACTCAGTACTAATGTGATGTTGCCACTGTATACCGCAATGCTCCGAAAGCAGTGGTGATCAAAGACACAGTAAAGGAACGTCATTTTCACGAATATCACCAGTATACACCTCAGTTGAAGATGGAAAACACCTCAGTTGTTGGAACAAGGTCACATTCATTGGCGACCCATAGTAGTCGTGTTCCTAGACAACAAAAGCGCCTTCGATTCGGTGGATTGATGTGTTCTTTGGGACTGTTCGCTCAGAGATGTGTCCGATAATATGTAAATGTCATAAGAGCACTGTGCGCGCACAGTTCGGATCTGTGGCAAACTGTCGCCAACCTGCAGTATCTCCAGCGGTGTGATGCAAAGTTTCCCGCTGTCACTTTTTCACTAACTTCGCCATTTACGAAAGCGTGGAAACGGTGTTCAGTGGACACGAGTTACAAGGAGTTGAGCTACTCCAGGTGAGCGACTTATTGACTCGGTGTATGCTGACGACATAGTCCTAATCTGCGACAGCTCGCAAACATGCCAAGCAGAATTGGATAGATTAGTACTAGCTGTCAATCGTTTCGGGCTATGCTTTACACTGTCGGAATGCAGTCCTTCGCTAAGATTGGTAGGGACATACCCCTGCGCCGATTTTGGTGGTGATCAGCTAGGAGTCGTCTAGAAAGATCACTTCACGAACCGTATAACAAAAGTTCGAGGCGATTTCGCCAATCTCCACCACTTGTGGCGCCAGCATAACATCGCCCTCGCACTGAAGGACAGAGTTTACAATGCAGCCGTCCTCTCAGTCCTCTAGTATGATTGCGAAAATTGGCCCATCAGATCGACAGGTATAAAGAAGTTAGCTACCTTCAACCATCGTTGTCTCCGCAGTTTAGCTCATGTCTGGTGGGAACAAGATGTGAGCAATGAGCACGTTCGGCGTCGTGCATTTGGTGCAAGTAGTGCGAGTGAACCGCTCAGCACCATTATACAACGCACCAGGCTCCGATAGCTAGGCCTCGTGTTGCGGATGCCAGCACACCATCTCTCACAGTGTGCGCTGTTTGCGCGACCGGAGTCTGGATGGAAGAGGAGATCAAGCGATGACTTGATCAGGAGAAATGAAGACCCTCACTTCGGACTTCGTGTCGGTTGATGCCTACCGACTGCTAAACGTGGTCCCAAGGACGATGAACAAGTCCGGCTGGATACACCTATTGACATGGAGAGAAACCGACCTCAATGGCGTTCATGTTCTGATTTTCTTCATCCCTCTCACTCCAACCACGACCTCATACGCCGGCCCATAGTCTCAAGGATCACAACCCCGTCCGAGGGCGCGTGTTCGAGCCTGCGTAGGGACCGGGCGACCCCCGCAATATCCTCAGCCCATGTGTGACTTGTGGTGGTTGCGCGGCAGCGTAGCGTCGGTACTGCGTACCGGCGTACTGCTGATGCTGACGATCTCATACCCGACACATGATAATTTTCAGTATATTACTTGATTTTTTAGTTTTCGTATTCTGTAATCGTTAGTATCTCATCTTCGTGTACTGCTGCACAGTAGATGAGGTGTTTCTCACCCTCAGATAAGGTATGTTGATGACGACGATGAGCGGAAAATATAACATATTGGAGCAGATCGTCACAGGCATGACAACATAAGCAATTCAAGGCTAAAAGTTAGTCTAGTGCGTTGCAGGACATAATCTGCAAGATACCAGCAATACCAAGTTGACAGCTCAGAAGATGTGGCGGGCCACCTGTTGCCTAATACGAAATGAAATAGGAACACCAGGAATAACAATGTAGCATGGAACCTCCGATTTGAAAGAGTGACTGACTATAACCGATCGAAAGACAGCAGAAACCAAGGTAGTTTTCACCGGTTAAGCTAGGAAGAGGTGACATAGCAGTAGGATCAGATGACCTGATAATCTCAACTGGACAAATTGAATAGAGAACGCTTCTTGGCCACCCATGTGAAGAAATAATTAGGGCCAGTTTGCACGTACGTCTAAAGCCTGAGGTAAGTAGTGTACAAAAATACAGCCAGGTTTGTGTGTTAAAATTCTGACGAAGATCTGCACAGCAGAGTGTAGGTGACGGAGAGAAACCAGAGACATGTGAAGAGCTGTACTCGGACTAAATGCACTAGTGGAGCAAAGCAGAAACAAATGCCAAAACTAGGCGAAACATGAGATAAAAAGGAGGGCGTTCTCTGTAGGTATATTGAATACGAAAAAATTGTTAAGCATATCAAACTCAAGCATCGAGCAAGCAGAACCGCAGATAAGCTGTCTTTGGGTAAGAAAAACGGATCCTTTATTAGACTGGTTCATGACCAAGTGTATCTGTATAAAAATGATGTACTTTTTCCATTAGGTATGTCCTTGTGAAAGTTTAAGGTCAAGATAAAAAAAGCTTACAAGACCACTGTCGTATGTTGGCGCAGCCAAGGCACATATTTAACCAAGTAACAGAGTAAAGTCGAGCGGAATTGAAAAAGAGGAAACAAGGAAAAGTACACAAATGTGAGCCCGCCGGAAAGGAGCGAAGAAATGAATACTGCACTGGTGCAATCTAGGAAAAGGAGGGACAACGCAACGGTTGACAAAATAAAGTTGGGCGTCCAAACGCGGTAGGCGTATCACAAAATGAGCGCTTGGCGTTTGCGAGGCAAAAGATGTAGGAAGGTCCTCGAAAAGTAAAGTTAGCATGGTCGAGCGAATCAGCGAGAACCTGAAAAGGTATGAAGGGAAGCGAAAAGGGATGAATTGTAGGAAAGAGAGTTAAGATGCCAATGAGAAAATATAACAAGCGACAATGTACCTGTATGCCCTGCCCGATAAGTGCGTGGACCTCTATAAGGTTCTGGAGGTGGTGGGAATTGACTTTCGTCTGGAAATCGGAAACGTCGCTCGAATTCTGCCGATAGAGTTGCGACCCCTGTGCTAAGAGTCGAAGTGGAAGGAGGGACCGGGGGAGGAGGTGGTGGTGGATGAACACGGCCGTCCCTGTGCAACGAAGTGACAGCTGAAGGTGGCGGGAATCGAGATGCGGGAGAGGGTCCAGGCACTGGAGACGACCGAGGATCCTGTGAATTGACATGAATCACCTTAGGTTTGGCGTTTATTGAGCGTTCTACTAGAACTCCTCGAGCATTTGTGGCTAAACCAGTACGCTGTGGAGGGATGGACCGATAAATATGTCTCCATTATGTGAGAGACAACAACTACTGATATGTTAGCTAGATGGTGAATTTAGCATCTATTCCTGTTCAGGTAAGTAACCAAACAAATTGCGTTGAGGTATTATACAAAACATCGTGGACTTTATTTCAGGATGGTCAAGCAGAGCCCAGTGGTAAATTACACTAAACGTTGCATTATTCGCAACTACCCCGTTACTATATTGGGTATAGATAAGTCTAAATAATCAATATTCACCGAGGAACAAGCAGCGAGCAAAACGAAAATAACATGCCTCGGTAACCCGATAACATACAGTTTGACAATGAGACCGCAGTCCTAGGAATCTGAGAGATAGGCTGAGTGTGAAGAAAGCCAGATTGTTGAGCGAAGACAAATACCAAGACACGCCAATGCATGTATTAGTATCAAGGCAAGAACTACAGAGCTTATGGTCTAAAATTGTGCTGGGGAAAGGAAATAGTTAAAAAAGACGAGTAGGGAGATCGTGAAGCGTTCAATAACAGGGTGAGTTTTGCTAACAGATCACTCAAAGTATTCGTTCAGTAAAGGCAAAAAATGTAGTTAACCCCTATTAGCCGAAAAAAAGTAAAAAAAGCAACCAGTACAACAGTACTGAAGAAGACGTCGACTTCACTTGATAGAGAACTTAGTATAACTGAGGAAAGGATTAACATTGCACTAGTGATAGTGAGGATAATCAGTGAAACAGAATGGAAAGATCTGTTGCCCACATTGTTCTCGAACTGGCCCCGAAACGTCAGGTCAGCACAAAGTACACCGTACCATAGAAAGAACTAGAATCTAAATGACAAAGCCGAAGTGACTATATCAAATGTATCGGAAGCAAACGCGCTACGGTATTCACAACCAGAAGATGAATGACAAGAAATAGGAAGGGCAAATTTAGTAAAGAAGGAGAAGAGTGCTGTGGAATCGATGGGGAATACATGAGCAAACAGAAGACTCCTTTCGCCAATAAAATCTACATTTTACCTGAGAGCACGTTGTTACTCACGGGGTGATGTGAATGAATTAGCCAAGACAGCGAATAGTGTCAGGGATACCAGTGTCTCATTGGCGCTCCAAAGCATAATCGAAATAACTAAAGATAGGTCAACGTTGGTTACCTTATGTAAGTGGATGTCGCATCAAGTGATAAGTTACCATGGTATCAGACGCGGTTTCTAAACACGGCTAACATATCTCCGTACGTCTTGATATATGATAAGTAATTAGAAGCCGAAGAACGAGGCTGATGCGTAAGCAGCAGTTGATATCAACGGAACGACACTGGATAGGCATGCCGCTTCTTGTGGTGACATGATCAAAGGCTAGCGTGCACCTCTAACGTTCGTGGAAAGGGCGATAAAAGAGCCCACGCTTGAAATGTGCAAAATTTCAATGCAGCAGTTATCCCAATATAAAATATAAAATAAAATATCCCAATATAAAAAGTCTCCCCACCTTTTGTTGGTTAGGTTAATGAACTGCAGGATTCAGGTAGAGGCTCATAGAGAATCGCTCACATCTGTTCAGACGACGGAGAAAAAGCAGACGGTCAATGGTTGAGGTGTAGTAAAACAGCCAATCGTGCTGCACCGAAACATGCCATGCTTGAACCGCCCAGTGATGGAGACATGAACTGAACATGGAGGCTGATCACGTGTCATGGTACTGTTTTCAACTGCAACACATCTGATCGTAGCCGGCTTTAGTATAGCCATCCAGTAACGCAACGAAAAGGTATGGTGGCAAAGATTGAATGAAAGTCAGTATTACGTCTAACCAAAAATTCTGGCTGATAAGATGCGTCAGAGAAGTCAAATCATTTAATTGGGTCCCCCGTACAAACGCTTCAACATACAACCTGACGGGCCTGGTAACTTTTATGCATCATCAGCGTTAGCAACAACAGCGATAGCAATATATCAGCCATGTGGACTGATGCATCGCTGCCGTACAACCATGATGACCAACGGAACGAAGAATAATAAGAGAGAAAGGGTGAACGTACCAGAAAAACTGAATGCTTTGAACAGGATCAAGGCGCCTCCAGCTTGTTAACTACATATCGTCACAAACAGCTGGCCAACTTGCAAAGATAAGGCGGCATGGCCGAGACAGGTTCCTTGCGGCTTTCACTGTCACGCGTCAAAAGCAGCAATTAACCGGTAGGTAACTCAGTAACAAACACACTGTAAACTGGTAGTCCGACTAGGAGACAACGCACGTCACTGGTGCAGACTGCGAGACATGTGTCGTAACGCTTCAAGCCAAGCACAAGGCAGGTCAAGTGGACTCCAGCCTTAAAGTCGAGACGGAGCAACGGCATCCAGTTTTGTAGTCTGTGACTTCGTTCCCTGCTGTCAAGGTAACTTCGAGTCTTGCGCCACCCTAAATCTAGCAAACAAAACAAGACGTTCCGTGAGCGGTGACTGGACGGGCGTATTACTTACCCAAGCCAATTCAACTTATTCAGTGCCATCCGTTGGTGTAAAGAAGTAGCCTGATTATAACTGCTTAGCACACGCCTAGGCACATAATCGCTGTGGACACGCTGGTGCCAACCGACCCCAACAACGCTCCGCAAACAATGATGAGCAAAGACTTGAAGAAGCTTCAAATCTTCAGACCGAAGGGGTCAAGACTCTCACTTCCACATGGTAAGGGGGCCCAATATGTGGCCATGTACAAATGGCATTTTAGCCAGATGAAATCCCCATTCTAATGCCTCAGTCTCAAGAAGACTGTTCCAGATTACGCAGTACATCAACTAAATCCAAAATGCGCAAGCCCAGTATTGGTAATGCAGACGTCGAGTTAAATGGATTGATTACCTGTCTCAAGTTCCTCGCATCAAGAGTCAAGGAACCATCAAGTGGCGGGTGGTGCTGCAACTTTGCACTTTGATGATACAAGATGCTTGCCAAATAATGAGACAACTCTAGGAGTTATTCGGGATTGATTGGGTCAGTCCAACAAAGTCAAACAGTAGGATGATGTCGTCCGCATAATCCAGATCAACCAGTTTTCCCCAAGGCAGAACAGCAACGCCCGCATCGTAAGATTCTGCAGGGGAACACACCATGACGGTGCCCACGACAAAGTTGAACAAGAATATAGAAATCGGAAAACCCGTTACTTGTTGTGGAAAAGAAATCCGCCAAGTCGCCGCACACCCTATAGTGGCCTGAAATGCTCGAGTACATGGTTAGTAAAGTAATTAGGCATTCCATAGGGACACTTTTCCGTGCAAGTATTTCGAACAGAATGGGTCGGACGCACACGAAGTCGAGGAACTCAGCTGGTGTTGGTCTGCGGTAAGTGTGGCGCAGCTCTAGCATCTTCCGCAGAGTGACTATGTGGCCTATACAGCCGCATCCTGGGCGTAATCCTACCTGCGCTTTCTTAATCTGGGATTCCCATTCCGCAGGAAATCAAGAGAGGAGAATTAAGGCCATCCGCATTAGACTGGTATCCTTGTGACCACCACACTGGGTGTGACTGCTCTTCCTGTATTGTGCCACTATGATCGATTCAGTGCAATTAGTTGAGAGGTTCTCCCTTCCAGACCTACTCAGACAAAGGTCAGTGTTTTGCAGAAGACTTCACCATCATAAGTAGTGAGGGTTCAAGGAAATCCAGACTAGTAGCTCGAAAAGGATTTAAGGGTGTGATTGCACTTTGAACCTGACTCTGACGGAGCCTCGAAACTAAATCGGCCACGGCTCAACCTGCACCACCTGAGTAGGAAGAGATAAAAAAAAGTAGGGAAACAACTAGACTGCTCACAAAAGTGCTTTGCCAAACGAGTCAGACGGCGATTCTTATCGTGAGTCAGAGCACCCGTGCTGTCTTTAATTGTCTCACTAACGCCTTTTCTCCTGAGAGCCAGCGCTCCGTCGTTGTCAACTCATTCAGAATTCAACATATAGTTGCCATCTGTATAACCGATTTGGGTTTATTTTAGTATCCCCATTTCATGCCATCTACAATAAATAATACCACAGAGACGCCAGAGAAAAAAAGCGGAATCTACGCGACTTCGTGCTTGACTCACTGTCAGTCAATAGCGAGCGTTTGTTGAAACTGGGCGCCGATCGACGGCTTTTTCGTTGCAGCAACTTAAGGTGCAGTGTTGCAGATGAGTCACTTGGTGTTGTCCGACCTCCGGTAAGCGATGGTCCCAAACTGGACAGATCGCCGTAAGTTACAGGTGACACATTTCTAGCTTTGAGAGTCGCTAGTTTTAGTATGCGCCCTAATATTTTGTCCGTTTGCACTTAACCTCGCTGAGAAGCGCAGCATATACCTCACCGATTGATAGTGAAAAAGCTCCCCGTTGCTAGTACAATTGCCGAGAGAAATAAATTCCTCAACTAAGCCCAGTTCCTCATCGTCAAGCGTCAATAGGTCATCAAGTTGGTTGGTGTCTTATAACACCAAGTAGCACATTGAGAGTGCGAAGTATGTGCAGAAGAATGGCACAACTCTTGAGTTAACCCAGTGCTAATCATGCGTCCCACGATCATAAAACAGTAAGGTGATATGATCTGCAGAATTTATACGCCCCAGCTTTCCATCAAGAAACGGTAACACCTGCGGTGTGAGATTTCACAATGGGACACTTGGTGGCAAAGTGCACAATGGTATTGAACGTAAAGTAGGGATGAGAAACTCTGGTGAATGCCACTTGTTGTAATAAACGCGTTCGATAAGTCGTCGCGACACCTAATGCGAGTTAAGGTCGAGTAGCGTACTTAAGAAGTTTGTATATTTGATAGAAATAAAGTTCACGGTAACTATATCGAACAGAACGGAGGTCAACTGAGTCGAATGTACTTTTATAGGCAAGGAACGCAACCTTAGTTTACCGCCATCCCATGTGATGCTTTCTTAGTACCTGTCGCAAAAGGAAAAAATGATGTACACCGTCCCAAGATGAAAAGGTGATTATCAGTGTCTAGTGTGCCTTGACAACTGTCAGTGTCGCAAGTAGAGATCCTGCGTGGTGCGCAGCGAAAGAATTACTATCCTACTGAACTTTGGTGTCTACAGGAAAGCTGAGTATGCAGGGCAACCAGGCAGGCCTATTCAACCGAAGTTACTTCAGGTACTACAAGAAGCTGTGATATAAGACGTACTAGAAGGAGAGCTTCCCAAATCAGAGAGACTGTGTTTACGGGAGCCCAATGGGTACTGCTCGTCCTTCGGGAATGAGACAAAGGGGTCCGGCGAAACAAGGCACCCGCTAGACCGACCATGTTACCTGTAAGGCATTGCTCATGGTGCCAATGTATCCAAACGTACAGGCCGGAGATAGGCAGTGGGGATCAAGTCATTTCGTATGATCAATAATTCAGACAAAATGAGTATCATTAGCCTGGTCGATTGTCATGTACGCTCACTCAATGACTATGGAAGATTTAGGTTGGTTACCTGATCTAGAACACAAAACAATTGTAAGACTGGTAGTGGGCTAGAGTGTTGTCGATCCACTTCACTTTCCAGGCTTGCGTCCACGTGATCCATATCCATGCCCATTCGGCCTTTTAATCGCTAAGTGTAGCAGAACCACATTTACTCATTATGAGGCCTAAGAAACAGGTATGTTGAGTAGGCAGAATGCATGCAAACACCTCCCATCTTCAGCTTCTAGTTCTTACCTCGTTGTACAGTGAGTCTCATGCTGTGTCAATGTCATTTGAAGAAATGCACTGCGGTCAGATGTAGTGCTTTCCTAGTACCTATGCAAAGTAGAAAGATGTGCACAAGCAGGGCCTTCAAATCGCTCGTTGCATTTTCAATGGAGCACAGCTTTTACTCTAAATGCTGCGGAGTTATTAGCCCTCATCGAGCAGTTTCGGTATTTTCTTCGTTTGGACGACAAGGTCATTAACGCTGTCCCCTGTAGGTTTAAAAAAAGCTTTAAGATACTTCGCAGGCTACATGTTGTGTCGATCTTTGCCATGGCAGCATAAACACAACCGGATAAATATCAAAAAGTGCTTTGTGGCTTGAGGAATAATCGTCCCAATTGACAAATTGGGTTTCGACACACTGCGGTCAACAGGATGCAAATACCAATGATTCACTTCAGCAACGTCCAATCGCTGCCTGTGTATTGGGGATCATGTATTCGAATGACACTTGTACACCCAGCACCATTCTTTCTATTTACACAATCCTAAACTTTTAATGGTGCTATTTTAGTCCATCCGCAGTAGTTATTGTAAAAAGTCAAAAATGCACCCACTCCAATAAAATAGCTTATAATGACTTGACTAATGAAAGAATATGTGCGAAATGGTATGTGCCAATCACTGGAGGTATTGAACTTGCTGGATATACACTCGTTATTATTTTTATCACTAGTGAAAGTGATTTATAGCAAACATAGCAATTAGGAGAAAATGGGTTAAAACCATCGAAAATTAGTGTGCACCTTCAAGAATACTCGTGCAGTTGTTAAACGAGAACAAAAGAGGTGGAACGACTTACAACGTGTATATTCAACACTTGAGCAAGATATAATCGGTACAGTGCACAAACTTACAAACTGCCATTTTGCTCAGTCCAAGGTATGATCGTGGAGATACTCAACAAAAAGGAATGATACTAAGCAAGCCACGCGAGATAAAGGCATACCTGTGAGCGATTTGATACTGAGCTCTTCCTGCGGGCTGGTGGTGGTGGCGGTGGTGGTGGCGAAAATGCACCACTTGACACTCTAGGTGTCGTTGAATACGACGAGTTGCAGGAGAGCATCCCAGAAATGGAATCCGCATCAGAGGTTCGAGACTGGTTATTCGCTACTACAGCACACGTGGTGGGTACCCTCCCAAGCCCGAGACCACCGTTGATGGCGGGTTTTGGTAACAGGGGCGTTGGACCCGAAGGTCGAGGATACGAGGACGAATGTTGAATCTTTATAAGTTCACAAACATCAAGTGTCCAGAAACCACCGTGAGAAAAAAATGGAAGAGAGCGATTATGAAGTGCTGTAGGAACCCCAGTGAACGAAAGTCGAAATGCAACGCCGAACAAAAGGATATTAACTTACTCACCAGTACGCAAGTGTTAGCTTAAGGGGTTAACAGCAGCAGTAAACGTGAGCAGTTTAGCCGAAACATGTGCAAAAGCGTAAAGTGATCAGTGCGCCGTAAGATTAAGATTTCTAGAAGGGGAAGCAAGAGTTAGAATAGTAAAAACGCGTACAAATTCCCGGTCATAGTAAAACATAATCAACGTCAGTGAACGCGAGAAAATTGGGTGAGCAAGTAAAGTAAAACAGGTGGAGATCGGAAATTCGCAGTAGGAAAATGGAGACAAAGCAAATAGCACACGGCGGTATTTCGCAAAAGGGTGCGCATCCTGAAGCGTTGACTTCCATACTCCTTGTTGCGTGAGGAGGAAGTGAGTGCAAACAATGTGGTGGTCACTGCCCGCCTAAGTGCAAGCAGCTGTGACAACTAATAACTGCTGCGTGAGATGATTCCGAAGGCCTAGTTAGAAGCGAAGAGGATTCAAACCAAAGGACGTGTGGTGGTAATTACACCGAGTGCCAATTATGATATGCGACCAACGCTTAAACATGATAGTAGATGGTAGACGTATGCAAGTTCGTAGGAAGCGCAAATAAAGAAGTGGCAGAAAGGTAAGACTGTTTTGGTTAATTAAAAATAGGAAATGGGAAAAGAAAATAGGATAAGTCATCGGAAAGATGACAGTGAGAGATCAGTCAGCAAGAATGCCGACCAGATAATATATGTCGAAGTCGAAAAAGGGACCAATAAAGAGTAGTTGGTTGGTTGGCCGAGGATGAGACACACATCGCATCCATATTCGCTCTTATGTGATCGATAGTTACAGGCCCATCATACAGATCAGTTATGCACATGCATAGAAACAAGCATACAGAGCGTCATGAGGAACACAAAAGATCGAAAAAAACTAGATGTGCATTACGTTTGAATATGTCGGTCGGTGGCAACATGCTGGACATGATATGAAGGACGTACCGAAGACGACAGTGAAGAAGCCAAAGAGGATGGTGGGGGAGGAGGGGGAGGCGGTCTTTGGCTAGCTGTAGAAGTCATGCTCGCAGAGGGAGGAGCGACAGTTCGAGGTGATGAAGGCTGCGAAGGAACCGGTGAAGCTTGTGGCGCTGGGGAAGATGTCCCTGTCCCATGACCAACAGTGGGTCGGCCTTTGGGTGAACCACCTGCGAAAATGGTATTTAAGGCGGCGGATGCCGCTTTGGCATTGGGACGGGGGCCTACACTAGACGTCTGGGAGCCAGGGATTTCTGCCGCTGAAGGTGAAACTATACAGAAAGAAAAACCAATGAGTGATAAACCATCAATGAACAGTTTTACTTTACAGTCCGCAGCGAGTTAGGTAGAAAAGAAGGAGATAAAAGACGCGGTGGTCATTAACGAAGTAGCGAAACAAAAAACGCTTGGGCTATTTGTCTATGAAAGAATTCTGGAACTAGCAAGGCCAACATAGACAATGCCATGCAAGCATTTCCTTTCACGAATTTCAAAACAGCGAGAAGAAACCACATTTTAACAGGATATACTGAATTCAGTAATTTCATGTGTTCTCCCCAGCTCTTTACAAACAATTTGTATAACGGATAGGCTACATAGCAAAGGCGATCGAGTTGCAATGTTATCGGCGAAAATTTAACGCGCTCGAAAATCGGTGAGTTCACGTGACCCGGTCAGTGGAAAGACGACACTAGCCTCACCAAGGTAGGACGAAGCTGGTCACGAAGTCGGTTTGCTTGCACAAACTTGGTTTCAACCGGCGAATCGCCGAGGCCTCAGCGAAGTACACAGGGACTGCTTTGTTTGTTGTTTACCTTAAACCCACCACGTGGGTTTTCGTATACGGGGCAATCAAGTATGTGGCGTGCAATAGAGCTAGTGGGTAGTTTCGGGCAATTTATGACCATTTACGGAGGGACCTTCTCTGCAACCCTCACTGACAGCCTTCTCTCAGTTCTGCGAACGTACTTGTTACCGCAAGTACAGGCACAGCATAAGAGATACACTTGAATTCGTCAAGGAGAGACGCAATCTAAACGTAAAAGGGAAGTTTACGGTCTCCTTTGATGTATGCTCGTTATTCACAGATATCCCTTTGGAAGAAACGCTAGATTTAATAGCCAGGCATGCTGATAAAGTCAAAATCCCAATGTCCCAACTCAAGTCACTACTCCGTTAATGCACGAAAGATACTCAGTGCCCATGCAATGGAACCCTGTATCAATAAATCGACGGCGTGGCCATGGGCAATCCATTAGGCCCAGTTTTGGCTGATATCTTTATGGGCCACTTGAAAAACACCGTACTACATTCATATATACAGAATGTACACTTTTATGGCCGGTATATGGACGACACCTTCGTCGTTGTTGACAATCCTCAGCAGGCACCATACCTACTGGAAATGATGAATAAGTGCCATTTTGCGATTAAATTCACGATAGAAAATGAATCAGACGGATTCTTCCATTTTTTGGATGTTAACTTACAGAGAAAGCTAGAAGGTACACTCGTTCGGACTGTGTACATAAAACCAACATGGACGGGACAGTACCTGAACTTTAATAGTTTCTGCCCCATGAACTACAAGCGAGTTTTAGTCCGTACGACTTTTGCTAGAGTTCGTCAAATTTGCTCTCCGGAGACTACATAATGTGAACTGGAACAGTACAACTGGACACGACAAAAGAATGGATATCCCAAGCGATTTATAGTGTGGTACGCGAGCTTACAACCGAAAGTTAAACAATCAACAGATGTTCCAAAGAAAAAGGTATTTATTACGCTGCCGTTTAAAGGGGACCAAGTGGACAGAAGATGTCGACAACGTCTTCGTCAATCTATCAAGAAGTGCTATTACGCGGCTGAGCTAATGGCATTGCACCAAGTCAGGAGGCTGCTGTGCATATCCAAACTGGACAGACCGGACTCAAGTTACCGTCTCGTGCGTTTACCTTTTTACCTGTACTTGCGGTAGTAAGTACGTTCGCAGAACTGAGAGAAGGCTGTCAGTGAGGGTTGCAGAGAAGGTCCCTCCGTAAATGGTCATAAATTGCCCGAAACTACCCACTAGCTCTATTGCACGCCACGTACTTGATTGCCCCGTATACGAAAACCCACGTGGTGGGTTTAAGGTAAACAACAAACAAAGCAATCCCCGTGTACTTCGCTGAGGCCTCAGCGATTCGCCGGTTGAAACCAAGTTTGTGCAAACAAACCGACTTCGTGACCAGCCTCGCCCTACCCTGGTGAGGCTAGTGTCGTCTTTCCACTGACCGGGTCACGTGAACTCACCGATTTTCGACCGCTTTAAATTTTCGCCGATAACATTGCAACTCGATCGCCTTTGCTATGTAGCCTATCCGTTATACAAATTGTTTGTAAAGAGCTGGGGAGAACACATGAAATTACTGAATTCAGTATACCCGGTTAAAATGTGGTTTCTTCTTGCTCTTTTGATAGACGATTCTGCATGTACAGAATAGACTGTATGCTGATGCGACACCTCAGGTGCCTGGGATATGTCCGTCGTAGTAATGCGTAAAGTCTAAAAACAGAGTTTTCTTGAGTTGTCTGCCTAATTCACTAATTTGGGTACTTAAAGGCGGTTTTCTAACCTTACTTCCATATAATAATTTTGCATTTGTCCGAATTTTGTAGTTGTATTTCTTTATATCCCGCACTAGATGTTTGTCCATCTCTTTTGACTACCACAATATAATTTCTACTCGGACTTTCCGATTTCCTGCAAACGTTGGTACACTTAACCACTGAGTGAGTCTATCTCGGAAATTGCCTGTCATATTTCCTTTAACCCACAAAATCTACCATCCGTTCACTTTTTATACTTATCCTCTGATTCCCTACTCTTTTTAATGTCTCCGCTGGGGGCTAAGGTACGGACAAGTTTAGTTCCAAGATGAAGGAAAGATGACGGACCTTGCCCTTTAGTCGATCAACTTGCATAAAAGAAGTTGCTAAGAGGAGCAGCTTCCGAGATAGTGCATCAAAAACGCCACATGGAGCAAAATCCAACCACTAAGCAAAATCCAGTGGAATAATCGCATTACTCAATAAAAAGAATGTGTCCGAACTACCTACTACTATCATTGGTAAGCGAAGAATATAATAAAACAGAAAACATTCAAGTTATTAACGTAACGTTAGTCAGCTTAGTAAAATTGTCTAGTATTTAGTGGCCATAAAAACATGAGTTACGTGACTCGTAATAATGCATACATTAACCTTTCTTGTGATGTTCATAGGGCAGCCACAGGACGAGTGCGCCTACAGAAGGACCATGAGTGGCTTGCGCTGTACCACACACAGCCCCATCCACACCCCTATCTATTGTAAACCAGCAGCAGGACTCCTGTCAATCTAAATTGGGAAGCATGCTTATCAGATATACATGAGGCCCGTTCCACACAGAATGGAACAACTCTCTGAATCTAGCATCGTCAAGAGGACGGAGCACCCCGCACCCTTGCAGAAACGATTCAAAGTATCTTGTAGCACACCATGTGCTACGTCAACTTCGATCTTGTCTACTGCACAATGGCAATGCAGATACTGTATAATCACATACACTCATATGCATTCGTCCATAGTTGTGTATGAATTACTATAAACTGAATGAAAAAAGTGAACCCTCATGAACAACAATAACAATACAAAGGATTGTGATTGAAGATAAGATAACTATTCATATTCATCAGGTTACGAGAAATCGCAAGTGTAAACATAAGGACTTGGTGGCTACATAACGTTTAGATGTGAGCGTAAGTGACAGTCTTAAGTTAAGTGGGCACCACCAATAGATAGAGACAGCTATGGGAATAGATCAAGTTAATCGCAATCAGGAAAAGGTACACGATCAACGCAACCTCAGCCAGGCGACACAAGCGTCCAAACAAAATTCGTATGTACTGAGTAATCGGTCAGTGACGCACAATGGGCGCGATTCCCTGAATTCGCCCCGCTGCCTTGCGGTTAGAATATTCAGCCAAAGGCTCGGGGTGGTGTCTACTAAGACAATCCATTACCTCGGCTTGTGCAACCAGGTAGTACCACGCCCGCTGACAAAACCATGGATCCCACAACAACTACTACTACTACTACCACACAATAAAGTAATTTCCCCCTACCACGCATTGGCAAGTTGACCCGTACCATAGTTCAAAGTTCTGTGCATATATCCGCTCTACACGTACATTTTTGATTAGTGACATGCCACTATTCTTAGAACGCACTGTGTACGCAATCTCATCGGACCAGTTCCTCACCAAGATACTTCACTCCAATGATCTCTGTAATTCCTAGCTTTACATCTCGCACTCTGAGAGGATCAACATTCAATCGTTGGACCATATGGGCCTACATTACTGACTACAGCTGTATTACTCCTACTCTTGGACCTGCTCATTATGCTATCATGTACAACGGTGCACTATACCGATCATGCCCAAAGTGTGCGCCTCGCTTTGTCGAGAATAAATGTTTATTTATTTACTACTACGACTACTATTATTACACTACTAACGCACCCCTATCACACACCAATCATTGATTTGTCAATGATTTCTTTGAAGTTACATCTGATGTCAGTCTAGCTAACATCCAGTGGCTCTCCTTCCGCCCCGTTCTCAGTTTCCGTTGGCAACCTTTTACGTTAGAGTCTTAATGCAGATCGGACAACAAGCCGGCCTAGCATGCACCTTGCAGTCCCTCGACATTGATGTCTGTTGTCTTTCTGAGACTCGGTTACAGGACTCTAGTACCGTAGTTAAGCTGATATCCCCTGCTGACCTCGGGGCCAAAGAGTAGTTGCATTTTTCTGGTGACAAAGAGACTGCTGCAGCTGGCTTGGCTAGTGTTGGCATCGCAATGAGTGACAAAGCTCAGGCCTCGCTGCTCGACTGATTCCCGTTGTTACGGTTGGCAAGGTCGCACCGGGCCTCTCTTATTGGCTGTTCGAGAAGACCTGCCCGTCCCGATTAGCCGATAAGGTGTAATGGCCGTCAAACGCAAAATGATAACACAGCATAGAGTACCGATATTTATTTGTTCGTAGCGACCTTCTTGGACCTACTCTGTTCTCTTTCATTCTTTACTTACCAATGATAGTATCAGACTGTGCAAGAACATTCTGTTGATCAACCAATGCGATTACTACCATTGATTTCTGGAAAATGGCTGGAGTTTGATCTGCTTAGGGTTCACTGGTTTATTCGTTAGGAGGTGCTACTACTAACCCCGATCGATAGCCGAT